ACTCCCCCCCCCCCCCGCCATACACACATTTTGTAATCGAATAGTTTTTGAAATGGCAGAAGTAGGGTATCGAAGCTGGTAAATTATCATATACATACTGAGCATTGCGTGTGTGTGTGTGTGCGTGTGTGTGTGTGTGTGTGTGTGTGTGTGTGTGTGTGTGTGTGTGTGTGTGTGTAATTTGAAGTACCGTGTTATAAGTTTATAGTTTTCCCTGCTCGCCATGGGGAGGTTGGACTTCAAAGAGGACATAACATATTTATAATTTCATGTTGGATATCAATTATTAAAGTGGGATAGAAATCTGTGAGGGCCTAGATTAAACATTTTAATGAAGCAATTTGAAACGAATTCTCTGGAAAAAATGGTCCATGGTAATTCCATCTCAAGACAGGCCAACCTTTTTAACTGCGAGGTCAGTGGTGTGCTTAAGAAACATACACACACTTCAAGGGACTTGGTGAGTAATTTTCAAGACTCACGTGGAACGCGTGGAGACGTCAAGACAGCGGGATGATAAAATCTACAAACATAACTTACTGAACTGCAGGGGCAAGGCGGTGACGCTGTCTCAAAATGAGCAATTTGAAGGGAAGTTATTGTAAATAATGTGTTTTAGTGATCCTGTGTATGCACTTAAAGAGCGATTTTTAATATAGATCTAGGGCCCAAAGAGAAAAAGACTTTTTGATTACTGAATCAAAATTTAAAAAAAGAAAATGTGTGTCTTGTGGCTGACCTGCAGGAGCACCATACAATGTTTCGTGGGCATAGGTAAATTGATATTTTTTAACGCGGTCAGACAAAATTGAACAAGCTATAGCACGGATAAGGCTCTTGAGAAACTGCTCATACTTTTTGACGACACTCACCAACACGACTCAGTTTAGCAAGTATTACCGAGACTTTGAAAATCGTTACAATTCACTGTGGATCAACCCTGGTGCCTCCAGAATTGTGGGCGAGTGTTGCATCCCTTTTGTTTTTGTAAAGTGTTTTACGGCGTTCGCAACTGTATACGGTCATATGAGCGCGCGGGACACACCTAATATTTTCAGTTGGTAGGAAATTTTGAATTTTGCCCGGGTGGCGCCAAAGCCTACTCTTATCGATTTTAGACCACAAAGGGATCTTTAACGTGCGCAACTTGCACACGGGCCCTCCGAGATTTTTCGCCCTTGTCCGAGAAGGCTAGGTGTAGATCTTTCCTACCAGAAGATCAGGGGTGTGGCAGAAAGACAGCAGTAAGGAGGAGCCAAGGAGTAGCAGTAGAAAGGCTGCAGAAAGAGTCAGGGGCCCAGAGGAGGGGGCAAAGGAGGTGAGGGGGTGGGGGCAGAAAGTGGAAATGAAAGCAGACAACAGAACATTGCTAGAGAGCAGGAAAGGGGGTGAAAGGAGACAATTTTAGCGAAGAAAATTTTTCGGTCGCAACCCGGATTCGAACCCGGGACCTTTGAATGAGAGGCCAACACCTTAATCTCTAGGCCACGAGAGCCCCTTGCATCCCTTCGTAACCCCACATGATACCATGTTGTAAAGAGAGACATTGGTATTACATGGTAGAAGTTTTGTGCTTGGCTCTTTCTTAGCCACACGCCGATACAGCTGCCTTGATAAACCTCAACAGTTTGAAGACCTAAAAAATGTTAGAATAAGAAAGGTTTTCTTTTTGATTGGGGGGAGGGGGGTATTTAAACAACGAAATGCATGGCGAACCATGGCCACCGATGTCTGTCGCAGGTCATTCTAATACGGGGTGCCCACTACGGCTGGATCGGGCCAATCGCCAGACTCGATCGCCTGAAACTGTTGAAGCGATCGAGTCGGGCGATCGGGCCGATCGGCCGATCCCATCCGTAGTGGGCACCCTGTATAACACTTGCTGGTGATGGTGATGGTGTTTTGATTACCTGGTACAGAGGATTCACAGTCAAAGACCAGCCCTTTGAACTCGTTGACCACGATGACTTCCGTAGCGTATTTGTGCACGGCTATGTAGCCAGCCCACTGCAGAATGTCCGGCATGTTCTCTATAGATCTGAAAGTGAACAGAAGAAGGGATCTAGTGTAGGCACTATACAAACAAATGAAGTGACACCTATATTAGTACTACAATCGTTCTCAACATATTGCTATTTACCTGCTCCTCCTCCTCCTCCTCCTCCTCCTCCTCCTCCTCCTCCTCCTCTTCCTCCTC